CGCAGCGCCTCCTCCTCCTCGCCCTCCCTGGGGGTGGCGGAGTGCGGGAGGCGAACGGGGCTCGAGAGGAGAGGCGGTGGGAAACTCAGGAGCTGCGCGCTCGACTTGCCCTCCCTCGAGAATTCTTCATAGTGCACTCAGGGCTCGTGCTCTCGCCAGGAACTTCGCAACAGTTGGCGAAGGTCGCTTCGAGCGCCCTCATGGACGAGCTTTCGGTGCCGGTCAGTGATGCCTCCCGCGCCATTTTGGCTGCGTCGCCCATCAGAGCTGGGCGCCGCTCGTTCGCTGCTGTTTCCTTTGCTTCGGCGCCGCCAGCCCTAGATTTGCAAGGCTTTCGACCTGCTTCGCGAGCCCGCGTACAAAAGAGAAGGTCGCTTCAGGGCCCAGGCCGCCCGACCTTCCCGGAAGGGCCGCCCGCCCGACCCGCCTGTTGGGGTCCGCCCGCCCGACCTGCCCGTTACGGTCCGGCGCCGCTCGCCTGCTTGGAGGATCGCCCGTCCGCTCTCCTGTCCTCACCACCCACCAGACCACCCCAACCCAACCCGAAGGCTCAGATTTACCCTCGATTTCCAGTGGGGGGGGGGTCGGGCAACGTCGAAAAAACACGTGTGGAACCCTTACCCCCCCCAACCCGAAATTCGGGTCTTCGGGTTGGGTTGGGGTGGTCTGGTAGGTAGTCATGTCCCGCCTGGCCCGCCCGTTGGGTCCGCCCGCCCCACCCGCCCGCCAGGGTTGTGGAAGTCGATTGATGGAAAGGAAGCGTGTTGCCAAATAGCTTCCAGACGTCGGAAACAGGTGTTAAACGTGTCTCGAACACGTAACAAGCATGTTTACGACACGCTTAGAACATCTCTCCGACCTTCTTGCGCACATCTTGAAATTCAATGACAGGACTGCTGGGGTGTCCGTTGCCGTGGCATCCACGACGCCAGGGGCCGCCCGGCCCGACCTGCCTCCCGCCGGTCCCCTCCGCTCGGCCGCTCTGGAGTCCTCTTGTCTCGGTCACCGAACCACCCCAACCCACTCCGAAGGCCTCAATTTGCCTTCCATTTTTTCAGTTGGGGGGGGGGTCGGGGAACACTGCAAACACGCACATGGAACCCGTACCCCCCCCAACCCGAAATTGGGGTCTTCCTCCTCACTTAATAATCCTCTTCCCCCCCTTTTTTTCTTTCTTTTTTTTTCTTTCTTTTTATTTGATTATTTATGGTTTGTTTTTTTTTTTTGTCATTTTTTACGTTTTTCCTCCTGCTCTCATTCCTCCTCATACTCCTCCTCATACATCCTACCTTCTCCTCCTCCTCCTCTCGCCCCCTCCCTCTTCCTCCTCACCTTACCTCATACTCCTTCCTCTTATTCTCTCCTTCCTCCATTCCTTACGACTGTCTCCTCCTCCTCCTCCTCCTGGTTGGGTGGGGGTGGTCTGGCAGGTAGTCAGAGCGCGTTCCGCTGCTCGCAGGCTGCCTGCCCGCGGACGTCCGAGGAGCACGGGGAGCTGCCTCGACGTGCTGCCTCGCGAATCCCCCCCCTCGGCGAATCCAGGCCCTTTTCGCAGGCCCAGAGCTTGACACCAACACCAGGATCGGCGGTGTGCCTCCACCGAGGGAAGACGATCCCGATCTCGGTGATGGTGGTATCAGGAGGGAAAAAAACACAGACACGATGAATCTTCGATTCCCCGGAAAATATGGGGAAATAGGGGAACTGGGGGGGAAGACAAAAACCAAGAAAATATGGGAAAACATCGGGAATCTTTTTATTTGTGTGTATTTATTTGTGTGTCCTTGGGCCCCTTCATGGTAATATGCTGGCTTCCAGAGTGGCCGAAATATTGTCACCAACACCGACATCTAGGATCATCTTCCCCCCAGTGGAGGCACACCCCCTGTGTTGGTGTTGGTGCCAATTTCCAGGCCTCCAGCATTTGCGAGTAGTTAACCACTTTGCGAGTACGGTAGGTCCGCGTCGTGCCGACCGGCGGCGACCCCGCCGCGGGCGTTCGAGGTTGAACGCTGCCAGTGGCCCAGGATCGGCCTATATATATACATACATACATACATATCATATGTAACGATCTGGCGATCGAAAGCCGCCGATCAGTCAAGGTTGAACGATCCACGCGGTGTCAGAAACCAACGCCGGGGTCGTCATGACACGGACCTGCCGTGGTGGAACGCGCTTGTCGAGGCTTGTGGCCTTTCCGAGGTCCTCCTGTGGATTTTGTTGGACCTCCCAAAAGGCTCTTTCGAGGCCCTCGTGGGGCTATGCCACGGGGGCGGAGAAGCCCACCTGGAGCCCGCAGGGGCGGCAGCAGCAGCGTCGCAGCCCTGCTGCTTGGCGGAGCAGCTGCGCAACGTCCCCGCTAGGATTAAGTCGGGCGTGTCCCTCTACAGGGGGAGCATTCAAAAGCAGTAGAAAATAGCCTGGGGACGATTTGTTTGTCTGTTTTGAACTGTTTTTTGAGTCGTTTTTGGGAATTCTATATGTGTTGTCACACATCCGCCTGTAGGAGGATATGCCCGACCTAACGCTAGAATGGAGACGCGCCAGAAAAGGTACGCGTGCGGTGGAGGTGAGCTCGGATCGCCCGTGATGTTTCTCGGGGATGTCCAGGCCGCTTCAGTCGGGCCTTCTGCGGGCGCGTTGGGGTGCCTCTTGGGGCTCTCGCTTGTCATCCTTTGGGCTCATAATTAGGCCCCTCGTGGGCTTTCATTCTTTCAAGCTGCTCTTCGAGCCGTGACTCTCTGCAACCCAGAGGCCCGAGAGGGCTTCCCAGAAGATCCAAACACGCTGGAACACAGTACAAGGACAACCTTTGTGACCGCTGTATGAAGCAAGTAAGTCATGGCGTGCCCAATGTTCCTTCCTTTCCTGACTAATCTCTCGATGGCGCGCGGCTCCCTCACCCCCCGCGGCTGTTTAGCGCCTTCGAACCCCCGAGATCCTGCCTAACAGAGCTCTTGTGCACCCCGCTAAATGATATCACACGTTCACGCATGGTTCAGACACCACGTACAAAAGAAAGCGCTACCTTGGCCTCGCTTTACCCGTTCTCTCGTTTACCCTCAGTTCACATCCGTGCTCCTGATGCTCCCTTAATCATCCCACTACACCGTTGCCTTTAGTATGGCCTCGTCCAGTCCTCGTGCCTACCGACCACCTACCATGTTGCCATGCATTCGGTGCCCGTCTGCGACGCGCGCGGTTGCACATACACGTACGCACATGTACGCAGAAAGAGAGCGGCGAGGTTGCAATGCCATGGCCTCTTCGGGAAGCTTGTGGCTGCAGGTGCGCTGCGCTCTTGCCGCCGATTTCTTTACGACAGGGCTGGACGTAAACGTTGGTGTTCGTTTTGTTTTCGTTTTGTTGTTTCGTTTCGCTCTAACTCTTTTCCTGTACCTCCCTGCCAAAACGAAAAACAAACACAGCCGAAGTCCAGCAAAACAGCGTTTAAGTCCAGCCATGCTTTACGATTGGAGCGGAACTATCAGTTGAGCCGCTCTAAGTCGCCGCAGAGAATCGCAGGATGAGGGTCAGGAGGAGGGGCAAGGGCAGGAGGAGAAGCAGGAAGTCGTGTGCCTTTTCTTCGCCAGTGGCCGTTTAATCAACGCTGCGAGGACTGCTCGGTTCAACCCCGTCGCAGCACAACAATAACGTAACGACCTGCCGTGCCGTTGTCTGTCTGTCTGTCTGTCTGTCTGTCTGTCTGTCTGTCTGTCTGTCTGTCTGTCTGTCTGTCTGTCTGTCCGTTCGCGTGCTTGGCTCGCCTTGCTTCTCCAAAGCGAGGTGGAGGCGGGGGAGGGCGCATCAGTGTCACTCGTGTGTGGCACTCTCCGTTCCAGCGTTCATTGTTCCTGTTGCGTCCTTCGGGTCGTTGGCTATCCCTGGGCCTTAGCCGATGTTCCACTGCTCTCGTTCGCAGGCCGAGTCGAAGGAAATATTTTTTTCTCTCCGGAGCCGGCTCATTTTCGCACACGCGTTGGTTGTTTCGTGGCGCATGGTTTCCCAGTTGTCTCGTCTCCAGTTCAATGTCCTTCTCCTTCTCCTCATTCTTCCGTGTCTGCTCCGCGTTCTCCCCTCCCCTGTCCCTCCTCACCCTTCCCTGTCTGCCCCTCCCCCCTTCCCCGCCCCTTCCCACTCGTATCCCCCCCCGCTCCTACTCCCCGTCCTACAGTGAGCGGCTTGAATAAGGAACACTTACTTTTCAAAAGGGGCTCGGTCGTTCCTTAGGCTTGCATGCGTTATCTACAGTTCCTTATGCGTTATTTGTTATTTATCGTTCCTTATGCGTTATTCCTTGGGATAAAAAAGGGGCTTCGTTCCTGATTTATCGTTCCTTAGGTCAGGCCGATGACTGTACTCTCTCTCTGGTGCTGGTCCTCCTCGTCCTCCCCGTGCCCCCTGGCGCCGTGGAGCCGCAGGTGTGCAAGGGCTCCGACCAGTCCCAGGTGCTTCCCTGGGCCCTCCTGGTGGAGGTGACAGTCCTCGCCCGTGCGCGGAAGCGCGCGAGCGCGCGTGATGATGAGGCGGAGGTGGGGGAGGACGGAGGGATGCTGATGAGGGTGCTGATGATACTGCTGATGTTGATTATGATGCTGATGATGCTGATGACGATGATGCTGATGATGATGATGATTCTGATGATGCTGATGACGATGATGCTGATGGTGATGATGATGTTGCTGATGAGTATGCTGACGATGATGATGATGATGATGTTGATGATTATGATAATAATGATGGTGCTGATTATTACTACTATTCGAATTGTTATGATGATGCTGCTGATGATGATAATGATGATGTTGATGATGATGCTGAAACTGCTGATGACAATACTGCTGATGATGACTATGATGCTGATGATGTTGATGACGATGATGAGGATGATGATGATGATGATGATGCTGATGATGATTCTGATGATGCTGATGGTAATTCTGCTGATGATTCTGCTTATGGTGGTGATGTTGATTATTATTATACTGATGATGATG